CATGGAGGGATGCAGTGGCCAAAGATAGTCCATTAGTTTTGCTGCTCCATTTTTCAAGATTCAGTTCTCTAAAAGTCTACTTGGGTGCAATCGCCAATAGCCATTGATCTCGGTGATAGTTTCATCTAGATATGTATATTTGTTTGTTTGTTTATTATTTCATTTATTTACAATTTTCTCAACCCTGGGAGGACGGGACTCAAAGCTGTTCAGAGCAAAGTAAATGGCAAAAATTCAATGCCTCACATAAAATATAAAATACATATATCTAAAATAGAATATAACTATAGATTAAAACCAGTAAACTATAAAATATCGGACATAGACAAAACATAGAACATTAGACATTACACCAATCCTGAGGTTATCATTTGACTACTGCATCTCACTCCCCGAATGCTTGCTTGAAAAGCCAAATTTAAAGTTGTTTCCTAAATGCCAGGAGACAGAGGTCTGATCTAATTGGGCTAGGGAGGGAGTTCCACAGCCGAGAGGCCACCACCGAGAAGGCCGTTTCTTGTCTTCTCAAGTTTATTTATTTATTTACCACATTTGTATACCGCCTTTCTCAGCCCCGAGGCAACTCAAGGCAGTTCACAGTTGGTAACAATTTGATGCCTCAACCATTATAAAATACAATTCAAACAATTATAAAATACAATTAAACCATTTAGCATATAATATAAAAACCATACAAAGCCATAAAAACATAATTCTCAGTGTCTCCTTACTAAAATCATTATCCAATTGCATCGTGAAGTCATTCAGTAATTTCATATTTACCTGATTATGCTGCATTAATGAAAGCTTGCTCAAAGAGCCAGGTTTTAACCCTTTAACGGTATGTCAGAAGGGAGGGGGCTGATCTTATATCCCTGGAAAGGGCGTTCCACAGCCAAGGGGCCACCACTGAGAAGGCCATGTCTGTCATCCCCGCCAAATGCATCTGCTAAGGAGGTGGGACTGAGAGCAGGGCCTCCCCAGAAGATCTTAGAGTCCTAGATGGTTCATAAAGATAGATGCATTTGGACAGGTAATTTGAGCCTACAAGGGCTGTGGGAGCGAGAGCAGGACCTCAAGCGATCTTCATGCTCTAACTGGCTCATAAAGGGAGATGTGTTTTGAAAGGTAAACTGGAGTGGGACCATCTAGGGATTTAGAGACTAAAACCAGCACTTTGAATTGTGCACAGTAGCAAACTGGCAGCCAGTTGAGCTGGTTCAACGGGGGTGGGGGAGGGGGTGTTGTATGCTCCCTGGCTGCTACTTGAAGCTTCCGAACAGTCTTCAAAGGCAACCCCATATAGAGTATGTTGTAGTAGTCTATTCGAGATGTAATGAGAGCATGGACCACTGTAACCACACTCTCTTATAAGCATTGCTCTTGATAGGCAGCCCCTGTTGTGCTTTGTGGTACTGAATTCTGTGGTTAAATTATACTCTGTTAACTATAATCTAGTTATCTTAGATTTTTGTAAAAACTCTCCCTTGCTTATTTTAGTTTCTTCATGCAGGGGAATTGCAAGGTTTATGCCACAAGTCTCAGAGTTTTGAAACTCATAAACTAACCCTAGAGCACTCATTAGTTTGGATCAGTTGCTTTCAAACTGTTGGAAAGAGAACTATGCATGCCACCTTGAATTCATTGAAGGAAAGATGGAGTGTAATCAGTCAAAAGTTTTATTCAATTTGACATTGTTTGCCTACAAAGGATTAAAACAGAATCTCTGTGAAGTATTAATCACAAATATGGCCTATTCTATCCAAATAGGGATTAAAAGTCTTGTAGATCCAGATTTAGAAATTATGCATATCAGTGTGTTTAACTGTTAAGTTTTAATAAGTGTAAGTGGCTGTAGGATTTTTAAAATGTAGTTCAGCCCATAGTTTATAAACATAAGATATGCTATGACAGTGTTCAAAGTCTGACTAAACATTATCAATACAGTATCATTAAAGTTTTATCAATAGAGTAACACTCTTGATGTCTACCTCTTGATTTGTCCTTGATATTGAAAGATAATTTACCAAATCTGCATATTTAAAGTTGTGAGGAAGTCACTCTTCACACGTAATAGGAATTATTTTTGTTTTGTATTGCCATCCCATTTTAAATCATTTGTACTCAATTGTTTGTTTATTTCTTCTTTTGTACACCACACAATTAAATTGTAGCCAAAATGCCTTGCAGCGGTACTGAATGGGGAAAAGATCCAGTGAATTACTTTGCTTGGAGTTGTGAAAATTCTAGTCCTTTCATAAATTACAGTGCATTAAAAGTATTTTCTGAGATAAAGGAGGCAACAGCCTTGGTTTTCATTGTCATGATAATACAATAATACCAGACTAAATCTGCTTTTTTGTTACTATGGAATTCCTCTGTGATTTGAGGCTCTACTATTGATTTCATGGCCTTCTTCTTAAAATATTCTGTAATAGGTTTTGAACATATTTTTGTTTGTTTTTCATTAAGTTGCACATCTGTTCATTATATTGACCCAAAATCAGAAGCTCTTGCATTGTATTATGGATTATGCAATATCCCCAGAAAGAAAAGGGTATTTTTTATTATAGAAGTCACATGAAGGATGCATGCCACCATTGTATAGGGGCAAATATACAAATACACAATATACAAATATACTCCTTCTTTGGAAGCTTTTAAACAGGGGCTGGGTGGCCATCTGTCAGGGGTGCTTTGAATGCAATATTCCTGCTTCTTGGCAGAATAGGGTTGGACTGGATGGCCCATGAGGTCTCTTCCAACTCTTTGATTCTATGATTCTATGAAATCACAAGTAATGCCAGTCAGGTTGCCCTGCAAACACACAACCATTCCTACACTAATACACATCTTGTCTCGTGGCTTCCCTATAATTGTAAGGGTAGAGCTGTTTCAGGATATAGTCTGAACTTTAAAGAAGTACCTAAGGTATCTAATCCTAGCCCTTAATAAGTTCAGTGCCTTGAGTAGAGCCTTTAAAGTCTGTACTAAAAACCATGAATTTACCACCCTACTGAGGCGATTACATTGGTTTTTACTGGCACATTGTATGGCTTCTTTTGGAAATATTCTCCCAAGTCCTACAGATAGACTTCTTATAGGTTTAAATGCAGCACATACCAAATATTAAAGGTAGAATCATCATATTTGCTGAAGAAGAGTAAGAAGCAGTGCTTTCCATGTTTTCCACATCAAGCTGAAGCATTTAGACAACCACAAGAGTAAAGATAAAGATCCATCCAAAGGAAAAGTGTTTTTTCCATACATCAGTGGAACCACTGACACCATAGGGAAGCTGATGAGGAAACACAACATACAAACCAGATACAGACTCACTAAGAAAATACAACAAATGCAACATTCAGCAAATTACAAGAGGGATCATCTCACCTCTGCAGGAGTCTACCATATACTATGCAGCTGTGGACAAGTCTACATAGGGAGCACCAAACGCAGCATTGCCCAAATACAAATCAAGGAACATGAAAGGCCCTGCAGACTACTTCAACCAGAGAAGTCAGCCATAGCAGAGCACCTGATAGACCAACCTGGACCCAGCATATTTTTTGAGAACATAGAAATGCTGGACCACTCCAAGAACCACCATGTCAGACTACATAGAAAAGGCATTGAAATCCACAAGCATGTGGACAATTTCAACAGAAAGGAAGAGACCATGAAAATAAACAAAATCTGATTACCAGTATTAAAAAATATAAAATCATAACCGTAAATAAAGATCAACATTCAAAAACAGAGTAACTCCAGACAAGAAACAATCAGGGACAGCTAATCACCTCTCAAAAAAGGATTGTCCGAGGCAGTAAGAAGCCAGGCCTTGAATACTCCTAGGTTATTAAATGCTAATTAAGGTGGCCAATTGAAACATTCACACCAACAGACAAGAGTTCTTTCTCCCACCCTGGACATTCCACAGATATATAAACCCCATTTTCCTCATTTCCAACAGAACTCACAACCTCTGAGGATGCCTGCCACAGATGAAGGCAAAATGTCAGGAGAGAATGAACATGGCCATATATTCCGAAAAATTTACAGCAACCTATTTTAGACAACCTCTTTGGCAGTGTCCCCACTCAGACCATGGATGTAGACCTAAGAGATTTGTGTTGGATTCCTCACTCAGATACTGAGCTCAATGAATGAAGATTTTGGAGAATTCATAGTCATCCCACCACATTCTCTGGAATTAGGAGCACAGGATCCGTATAAACTAACAAACTGTACTTAAAGAAAATGCTATTTTTTTCAAGTAAGAGAACAATTTTCTCTTGGAATTCCTGGGTTTTCCAGGATGGCACTATGATTAACATAATCTGGAAGCTCACCATAGAATAACATTTGAGGACCAAGAGAGGTCTAGAGAAATGTGTCCTCTAGAAATCTCTAGGTCTCCATCATGTCTGGGTGAAGTTGACCATAGAGACACATTGGAAGAGGTTCTCTGTGGATAATGAGGTCTGCAAAAGTCAAAACCACAAATGTGAAGGGATGAATGTTCTCATTCCCTCTGCACCAGTGTTTCTCAAACTCTGCTCTTCCAGGTGTTTTGGACTTCATCTCCCAGAGTTCCCAGCCAGCTGACTAACTGTTAGGAAGTCCAAACATCTGGAGGAGCACAGTTTGAGAGAAACTGCTCTACACTATTCAGAATCCTCAAGCTTGCAATCAGCTGTGCTAATTGTGGAACTGTTTTTCCATAGAATAGCTTCCCCCATCTCTTTCTTACTGTACCACCTCTATCTCATTGACAGAGCTCTTACCTATTGCCAAAGGGACACTTTCATCCTACCTGCCTCCAGCCAGCAGATCTGGAGCTCAGGATTGCCCTGTGCAATTACTTTATTTAAAGCTTTTTCTGTCTGTTTTAATTGGAAAATGCCGTAATTACTTTGATATCCTTTGGGTGTTTTTTTTCAAAGAACTGCATTAATTTTGAGTGACTGCATCTGCCCTTGTTTCTTATCCTCCCATAGGTTGTACGTAGACGGTCCCTTTGGCAGCCCCTTTGAGGAATCCTTCAATTACGAGGTTAGCCTCTGTGTGGCTGGAGGCATTGGAGTGACTCCGTTCGCATCGATCCTCAACACCCTGCTGTATGTAAGCCTCATCATGCTAAAGCTTCCTCTACTCTGCTCCTGGGCATTACTAAAATGCATCTGTCAAGTAAATTTACCCTGTGGGTGTTGCTCTCACCAGAACTGCAAAATGGTGATTTAATAACAATGAGGGTTTTCTTGTAATACAACAGCTTGGCAAGATAATTTTTGAAAGTAATCTAATCATAATTATCGTTCCAAGGACTGGCAAAGTAGTTCATTGCTGCCACAGAGAATCTACAGTTGTTAAAACGCATCTCTCCCACCCCCTCCCACCCCTTTTTCTCCACGGAAATAGTTACCTTTTAGTTATGTATATCCAAATGTTCATACATACATTTATAATATTATAATGTAATACAATATAATACTAATAATAATACAATATTATAATTGTATATTTTATATTACATGTAATACTAATAATATTACAATATAATGGTTTAGCACGATATAGTAACATGTAATACTGATATTGTGCTATGCTAATAATATAATATCTTGTATGTATATATGTCTTGTAAGCCACTCTGAGTCCCCTTCGGAGTGAGAAGGGCGGCATATAAATGTCATAAATGAATAAATAAATACATCCAACATTCAGCTCTATGGCAGGGCATAGGAATCAACACAAATTATAATAAATATAATATAATATATATGCTTGATATTGTACACAAAAAGAATGTAAATTGAATGACTAAGATGATGAATGAACCTCAGGGCTCTTTCACACTACACACTTATAGCCCTATGATTCTATTTCAATTCTTATGGTATCATAACCTTAGAATTCCCACTTTAAGAAGAGGTATTTAGAATACTCTGTAAGAGATTTCTAGTGTCTCCATAGACCACAAATCCAAGGATACTATACCATTCAGTCATGGCAGTTAATGTGGAATTATGATGCTTTTACTGTGTAATGCAGAAGGGCTTAGCTACAGTTTCCTCTATAGGCATATTATTTACATTTCAAACTCTTATCTGTTCTTAATCTACAGAATTATTTGTACAGTCAGTCCTTTGTATATGCTGAAATCAGGGGCATTGGACTCCATGAAAATAGAAAACTCAAGAATTTAAGAAAGCCCTTTTTTAAAAACCTGAGAGAACACCTTCCTAGTAATCTCTAGTTCCTTCAACATGACTCTAAGGTCAATGTCTACTTGGAAAGTTGACCATTTAGGCCCCTTCTACATTGCCCTATAGCCCAGGATCTGATCCCAGATTATCTGATAGAAACTGGATTATTTGAGTTTCCACTGCTGGATAGGTAAATTAAAGGCAAAGGTTTTCCCCTGACATTAAGTCCAGTCATGTCTGACCCTGGGGATTGGTACTCATCTCAATTTCTAAGCCAAAGAGTCAGCGTTGTCTGTAGATCATGTGACCTCCAAGGTCATGTGGCCAGCATGACTACATGGAGCACCGTTACTTTCCCACCAGAGTGGTACCTATTGATCTACTCACATTTCCATGTTTTTGAACTGCTAGGTTGGCAGGAGCTGGGGCTAACAGTGGGAGCTCATCCCGCTCCCCAGATTTGAACTGGCAACCTTTTGGTCAGCATGTTCAGCATGCTGACCGGTGGCACAGTTTAATCCACTGTGCCACCGGGGGCTCCTACTGCTGGTTAACCTGGGATAAACAGACAATCTGGACACAGATCCTGGGATATAGGGGTAATATCGAAGAGGCCCTAGTCATCCTGGAGGATCTAGAAATTCATAGAGAACCTTTTAAATTGAATATATGAATAACAAAATCTGCAAAAGTCAAATCTGCTAAGGTAGATTTTAGTTTCATAAATTCATATCCAAACTTCAACCACTGGGCAAATTGTATTTCCTTGCCTGCCAAAGAAGCCTTAAAGGTGAAGGCCGACTCAGAACACAAAAGAGGTGACAACCTTAATGTAGCACCATAAATATGACAAGACACACATAGATTCAAACCTAAATTTGTTATAAAGACTCATTGCCTTCTGCCTGAATTAGTTTTGCTTTTGCCCATTTTTAGGGATTTTTTTAAAGTCCACTAGTTTCAGTACTAGCTAAAAAGACTGCTGCTTAACTCTGAAGTGAAATTGATACAGATATCCATCCATATCAAAGCCTTTTATTATTTATTTACAACATTTCTACCCTGCACTTCTCAACCCCCGAGAGGGGACTCAGAGCAGCTAACATTGACAACAATTTGATGCTGCAAATACCACAATAAACAACAATATAAAACATTTGTGAGGCTGGTGGGACTGAAAGCAAGGCCTCCCCGGTGGATCTTAAACTATGAAGCAGAACGTAGAGGGAGATATGTTCGGACAAGTAAACTTTTGACTGTTAGGATCCATTATCAAGTTGTTGAAGGTCCCAGCTGCGTTTCCTGGGCAAAATGCCCTGTATCTGTCAAGGTCCGGGTTGTATTTGCATGGACAGCCTGTTTTGTCCATGAGAAACTTGCCTACTGTCCTCAGAGACAAAGGAGGATGTGTTTCCACCATTAGTATCACAACAAGATGAAACTTCCAATCTAGTTGGCTTTTGTAGGACGCATTTGATGGATTGGGTATCATCATGTTCTTACCTTAGGTTGTTGTTCTTCTGTCTCCTTTCTATGGTGCAGCATAAGAGCTATGGGCATTTTCATACATTCTCATAAAATCCAACTGAAATGAGAGTTGAGTCTCTGGTGGATAGCTGAATGAGTCAAACATCTCCATACTATAAGGCGTAGGCGAATGTAGAGTGATTCATAATGCGGTGGGCATAAACATCACCTGGTTGTACAACTGCAGCTTGAAAATGCGGCTAAGCATAACAAGCATGCACCCTCAAAAATTGTTCCATGTTTTATTAAATTTGATTTTTAATCCTCTCTTTCCCAAACAAATATGGATATACAGGGATGAGTGGGAATGCTACAAGATCAGGAGGCTTTACTTCATATGGGTTTGCAGAGACATCCAGTCTTTCCGCTGGTTTGCTGATTTGCTCTGCAAATTGCATCACAAGGTAAGTAGGTTCCCTGGGCTGAGCTTTGAAGAAATTTTCAATTCTTCACAACTGATGGTCAGAAAGATACTAGATAGAGATAGATAGATAGATAGATAGATAGATAGATAGATAGATATAGATAGATGATAGATAGATAGAGATGCATTACAGTTATACTCCATTTTATTCCCAAGATGGGATCCAAGGGAGCTACAATTCTGTATCCAGTTACTTAGGAATACAATGCATTTAACTCAGAAGGACTTACTTCTCAGAAAACATGTGGAGGATTGTGCAAAAGCATTATAGTCCTGTGCACATCTATCAGAAATAAGGCCTTGCAAGCTTACTCATAAGAGTCTAGTAAATACCAACGCTTGAGGGACAATGAAGTGTAAAATCGCACAGATCTAACATGTGGCAGTGTAGTACAACCCTTGGGTCTATGGGGATATATTCCTGAATTTATCATATAAACTTTACTTATTTACTTTAGTGATCCCTCATAGACTGAGGATGTTGGTCCTCTAAGTTTAGTGTCATGGCGGTGGGTCCGTAGGTGACTATGGAGCCTTATTCTTGATCTGCATGTTCTCCTGCAGTGAGGACATTGTTTTGCAGGCGGAAGTCGGTCCCGATCAGGGTTGGCTTGATACTCCTTCCTCTTGGCATGTTTCTCCCTTTAGCCCTCCATTCGTGCCTCATCAAATTTCACAGCACTTCTGGTCACAGCTGACCTCCAGTTAGAGTGCTCAAGGGCCAGGGCTTCCCAGTTCTCGCTGTCTATGTCACAGTTTTTAAGCTTGGCTTTAAGCCCAGCTTTAAATTTCCTTTCCTGTCCACCAACATTCCATTTCCCGTTCTTGAGTTGGGAGTATAGTAACTGCTCTGGGAGACCGTGATCGGGCATTTGGACAATGTGGCCAGTTGATGGCATCGGAGCATCGCTTCAATGCTGGTGGTCTTTGCTTCTTCCAGCACACTGACATTTGTCTGCCTGTCTTCCTAAGAGATTTGTAGGATTTTTCGGAGGCAACACCGATGGAATTGTTCCAAGAGTTGAGTGTGATGTCTGTAGACAGTTCACATTTCGCATGCATATAGCAGGGTTGGAAGGACAATAACTTTATAAACAAGCACCTTGGTCTCCCTACAGATGTCCTGGTCCTCAAACAGTATAGCACAACCCCTATGTCCATGGGGATATATTCCTGAATTTATCAAAGAAATAAGGAACCATGGGTAATTGCAAACCCTACTGGAATAAACAATTTTGTGAGAAGTTACCATAGAGATGTGCTGAAGGACCTAACAAATTCCTAGAGATGTATCTCTATAGTAGTTTCCAGCACAAACATACTATAGGATCACCTGGATTGCTCAGAAGATTCCTTGAGCAGTCATATTTTGTCAGATGCGGATAGGTGAAACTGTGGATACTGGTCCTGTATGTATAAGTCTCATGCAAACAGAAAAATGTTGCCAAACCTCCTCAGCTCATTAAAGTAATATATATGTTCTCCCTGTGCCTTTTCTTTCTTTTCCCTTCCATACCTGTCTTCCTTCTTTCCTTTTTCTTTTTCTCTGACAATCATTTTTTGCATTTATTGCAGTAACATGCAAATTCAGCCCAGTGCACAGCCTTGGAGAAATGATATATTTCCCTTTAAATGACCCCCAGCACGCAAGGTTTTGTGCTCATTGGTTTTCCTCTGCATATTTCAATTGAATCTAAAGAGGAGTGTGCATAAACGCACATAGTGGTTGGCACTGAGACAGGATGGGTTCAACATCTGTCTCTGGTAGGAGATTTGGCACTACTGCTATATTTATGCGTAGAAGAAACGGTGTGAATTGTTTTAATATATTTTTCCTCTCTCCCTCCTCTTCCCTTTTGCCCTTTTGTAACACACAATGGTTTCAGTTCTGGCAAGAAAACCGACCAGATTTTGTCAATATCCAGTTATACCTCAGTCGAACAGATGGGATACAGGTAGGTAGTGAAATGGAGTTTGTGGCTGCATGGGGAGATCTTTGGAAACCAACCAAAAACTGGGCATGTATAACTTCAGCTCTCTTTATTTTTTTACCTGGCCTCGAAAAACAGGAAAACACACTGTTTTTATCCCCGCTATGAGATGGCAATATATTTGTTGCCCTTTCTGCTGACAATTTGTGTGAACATTTGTGCTCAAACTGTGATGGTTAGCTGCATAATTCATCCCTTCCAGCTGTATTGACTTGATAGGGACAGTCCTGATATTAATCCTTTGTCATCCCAATTTCCATTGGGTTGTTGTAGGTTTTTCGAGCTGTATGGCCATGTTCTAGAAACATGGCCATACAGCCTGAAAAACCAACAACAACCCAGTGATTCCGGCCATGAAATACCCTTTTCCATTGCTTTAAATTGTCCCAGTTTCTCTCTCTTCCTCCCATTTCTACCCCCTTACATCCTTTGCTTAATTCAATTGCTGCAAACTGAATCTGAAATGACGTTTACACTTCATTGACTCAACAGTGGGGAAAGAAAAGGAGTAGAGGAACCTTTTCCTTCCCAAGAGGTTCAGGCAAAACACACACTACTACAGCCAGAGTACCATAAATGTTCACGTATAAGTTGGCCTCATGAATAAATTGAGGGCAGGTTTGGAACACAATTATGAATTTTAATATGACCTGTGGATAAATCAAGAGCCATTCCACAGAGAAGGGAAAGTGCCAGTGCCATTCAGTTGCTCTAATCCAAGCTCTAATCCTTTTGATGATAATGATAATGATGTTTATTTATATCTTGCTTTTTCTCTGGTGGCACAGCAGGTTAAACTGCTGAGCTGCTGAACTTGCTGACCAAAAAGTTGGTGGTTCAAATCCAGGGAGTGGGATGAGCTCCCACTGTTAGGCCCAGCTTCTGCCAACCTCGCAGTTCAAAAACATGCAAATCTAAGTAGATCAATAGGTACCACTTCTGTGGGAAGGTAACAACACTTCATGCAGTCATGCTGGCCACATGACCTTGGGAGTGTCTATGAACAAAGCTGGCTCTTCGGCTTAAAAATGGAGATGTGCACTACTCCCAGAGTCGGACATGACTATAATGTCAAGGAGTAACGCTTACCTTTGATCTTTTCTTTCTACAACCGAGACTCTAAAAGATAAAAGTTAATTCTTATTTAAAGGGGAGCATCCCCTCATCTGAGCAGAGTGATAAAAGGTGAGAGGCTAATCTATCCTGGGAGACCCTAAAAGAAGCACCCCCCCCCTACTTTCTCAGCACTTCTTTGGGAGGAAGCTCCAAAGAACCCTCACCACCATTGCCATTTTCCCACCCAGGCATTCAAAAATTTATTTATTTATTTATTTACTTTACTTTACTTATATTCTCAGCCCGAAGGCGATTCACAGCGGTTCACAACAAAAAGGCCAGAAGTTTACAATAGCAGAGAAAGAGTAGAGAGGAATCTATGTTTCTTGTAGGTTCTCCTTGCATAGACTAAACAGTATTTATTTTTGGTTAGAGGAAAGGTACAGTATTGACAATGTCCTATAGATAAGTCAATATAGATATTTGGGTAAATTTTTGAACTTAAATTTCTAAACTTATACATTAATATGTAAAGTATATATGCTGTTTTAAGTGTCCTGTATTGTATCGTAGAGAAACCGTAGACCAGGGGTCCTCAAACTTTTTAAATAGAGGGCCAGGTCGCAGTCCCTCAAACTGTTGCAGGGCCGGACTATAATTTGAAAAAAAAAAAAAACCATGAATGAATTCCTATGCACAAGGCACATACTTTACTTGCAGTGCAAAAAAAAAAAAGGCTTCAAAACAATACAATAATTAAAATGAAGAACAATTTTAGCAAACTTACTAGTATTTCAATGGGAAATGTGAGCCTGCTTTTGGCTGATGAGATAGGATTGTTGTTGTTGTTGTTGCGTGCTTTCAAGCCATTTCAGACTTAGGTTGACCTTGAGTGAGGGCTGGGTAAATGATCTTGAAGGGCTGTATCTGGCCCTCAGACCTTAGTTTGAGGACCTCTGCCCTAGACTCAACCAGCTCCTGATTTTTGAGACCTGGGTCTCAATGACTTTTGTTTGTTTTTTTAAAAGGCAACTCTTGTTCTTGGTCCTGTCTGGTTGATGCCGTCACAGTAGTCAAGGGTATCAAGGGCTGATACCAACCATTGCTCTTCATTGCAGAAGTCGTAGGCAGACCCCAAATATCTTCTTTTGCAAGAGGGAGAGCAAATTCGCCACCCTTCTATTTAAAGTAGCTGACTTGACTAGCGACTGAACCTTTCTTTTAATATTGGCAGTAGTTTGGCATCCTTAACTGATCCCAAGCACAAGGCAGACTGAGTAGCACATAACTCTCATTCAAGTTGCTACCTTGCATCTGCTGCTTGGGCAGATTCCTCTTTCTGTCTAATAGTAGGGCTGGCCCTGCATAGAAGTACAAATACACACCTCACTGGACTAAACACAGGCAAGTACAACAATACCCCAAGACATGCAGTATATGCATAAGACTGACAAACTCAAAATGTTGAGTGCTTGATTTGCAGCAGTTGGCAAGGCACACTGGAGGTAATATCTCTTGTTTCTTGCAGAAGATAATTGGAGAGAAATACCACGTGCTGAACCGCCGTCTTTGCATTGGGCGGCCTCGCTGGAAACTTCTATTTAATGAAATCGCCAAGTGCAACAGACAGTAAGTAAGATTCCCAGCCCAGTTTACCTTGCAGCCTTTGAGGGATGGGAGCAGGGTGAGTTTAATAAACCACATTTGTATGGAAATGACTCTTGGCTTAATGCTATCATTTAATGCCAAAACACCTGATGTCTGGTGTTATCTAATATGTTGCATCAGAGGAACGGGGGTTTGAACAAAAGATCTGTCACCTCCCATAATCTGAATGGTTCATCTTCCAGGCAACTAGGCAGTGGGTGGGAGGGAATAAGCTTTGCATATTTTCATAATAGGTAGCTTCTTATTCCACTCATTCTTCCAAGTGCTTTGCTTGCGATGTATCTCAGGGTTGTGTTTATGCATGTGTCATTTTGAAACACTTCTTCTAATTGATTTGGGGAAAATTAATGGCCAGTATTCTATGTCAGCTCCTTAGTTAAGTATGTTTAATGATCTTTGTTAACTAAGTAACATCTCCTGGCCCATCTGTGCCCAAACTTGATCAAAATGTCATTCATCCATGTTCTTTTGATTACTTCTGGGTGTGGTTGCTGAAGTAATCAGAAGTAAATGGGTGAATGTCATTTTGGTCAAATTTGGGCACAGATGAGCCAGGAAATTGAGTCCATGACATGTGAGTGTGGAGAAGAGCAAACCACAGACCACCTCTTACAATGCAGTCTGAGCCCTGCCACATGCACAATGGAGGACCTCCTTATAGCAACACGAGAGGCACTCCAAGTGGCCAGCTGCTGGACAAAGGACATTTAATATAATGCCACATGTAAAACTTTGTTTCTTTAAAATGCATTACAACTGTACCTTTTTTTCGCTTCTGGTACGATAAATAAATAAATTCTGATTCTTTCTCCAGGCAGTTGATACCTGGGAAAGTAGGTGAAGATAGGACTACAATTATGATGAGAGTCAGAATTGTAATTGAGTAGATACTGGGCATACATAATGGTTATAGATRAGTACGGAGTCCTTTGTGGCGCAGTAGGTTAAACCGMTGAACTGCTGAACTTGCTGACCAAAAGGTTGGCGGTTCAAATCCAGKGAGGTGAGGTGAGCTGAGCTGTTAGCCCCAGCTTCTGCCAACATAACAGTTTGAAAACATGCAAATATGAGTAAATCAATAGGTAYCATTCTGATGGGAAGGTAAYGGCACTCCATGCAGTCTTGCTGGCCACATGACCTTGGAGGTGTCTACGAACAACGCCGGCTCTTCAGCTTAGAAATAGAGATGAGCACCAACCCCCAGAGTCAGACACGACTTGACTTAATGTCAGGGGAAAACCTTTACCTTTACCTATGGATGAGTACAGATGGCTCTCCACATTTGCAGGTTTCACTTTTGCAGATATATTTCATGAATATGCTCTTTTTAGAAAGTCCTAGGTCCCATGGGGAACAGGGCAAATGTCAGCAAGGAGAGTTTCATGAATCTGCAGCATCCCAAATAATCACAAACTTGCAAAAGCAAGACGTACTTACTTTAATGTGGCATCCCTTTCCCAGACAAGCGCCTGTTTCACCCATTTGAGGCTCCTTTCCTTTAACTATGGTGAACAAAAGGCCGCCATCTACTGGTGACAATGTAGCATGTGCCTGCCATGTGAGATGTGGGTTACTCCTTCCCCTCTTTCCTTCCCCATTCCATTGCAAACAAGTTGATAGATTCTGCTAGAATGTTGTAACTTTTTTTTTGTGGAAAGTAATGATCAGTGTTTTGAAGGTGGCAGGAAATGCAAAATGACTAAGAACTCCAAAACGGCGTATTCTTTATGTGCATCTCCCAGGATTTGGGAAGTTGATGCAACAGGAGGCAAGATTTCTACTTCTCATTGCTTCCTGTCCCCACTTTCCTGCTTTTTATGTGCCACCTCTGGAGTCCTGATCGGCTGCAGCAGTCCACAAACTTGGAGATGGGTGAAGGAACCAGGCATGAGAAACAGCAAATGTTTTGTATACAGTCATGATAAGAGATTCATAGCAATAATAATGTGCTCTGTCTTGGAAGCTGACGCCCCTAACAGAAATTGTACACAAAAGTTCTGCAACACAATGTCACAGCCACCCAGTCGTACCCTTTTCCTGGATACTCCATTCCATTTTCCCCACCTGGAGTTTGACTCCCAACAGATAGTCAGCTTTCTGTGGCACAGTGAGGATATTCTGCCACTCATTTCTCCCTTTTCAGTGCAAAATAAAATATTTTAAAATAAATTGAAGTACACTTGGCCCACATTGGTTCGGATTAGGGGTTTAGGACCCCAGAAAAGCAGAAAAAACAATGTTTAATTGGACGTTTTTAACCTGAGAGAGAAAAGCTCTTTAGAAGTCTCTAGGTCATTGTTTCTAAACCTGGGGGGGGGGGGGGGTGAGGGATGTCAGAGGGGTCACCAAAGACCATCAGAAAACACAGTATTTTCTGTTGGTCACGGGGTTCTTGTGGGAAATTTGGCCCAATTCTATCGTTGGTGAGGTTCAGAATGTTCTTTGATTGTAGGTGAACTATAAATCCCAGCAACTACAACTCCCAAATCATTTTTTTTAGTGAAGGACACCTAACATTGGGTTGTTATTCATGCCAAGTTTGGTTCAGATCTATTGTTTGAGTCCACAGTGTTCTCCAGATGTAGGTGAACTACAACTCCAAAACTCAAGGTCAATGCCCACCAAACCCTTCCAGTATATTTGTTGGTCATGGGAGTTCTTTGTGCCAAAATTGGTTCATTTCCATCGTTGGTGGAGTTCAGAATGCTCTTTGATCGTAGGTGAAGTATAAATCCCCAAAACTACAACTCCAAAATGACAAAACGACAAAATCAAATTTGGGCGTATCAGATATTTGTGCCAAATTTGGTCTAGTGAATGAAAATACATCCTGCATATCAGATATTTACATTACGAGTCATATAGTAAAATTAGGGTTATGAAGTAGCAACGAAAATAATTTTATAGTTGGGGGTCACCACAAAATGAGAAACTGCATTAAGAGGTCGTGGCATTAGGAATCGTAGAATCATAGAGTTGGAAGAGACCTCATGGGCCATCCAGTCCAACCCCCTGCCAAGAAGCAGGAATATTGCATTCAAATCACCCCTGACAGATGGCCATCCAGCCTCTGTTTAAAAGCCTCCAAAGAAGGAGCCTCCACCACACTCCGGGGCAGAGAGTTCCACTGCTGAACACCTCTCACAATCAGGAAGTTCTTCCTCATGTTCAAATGTTATCTCCTTTCTTGCAGTTTGAAGCCATTGTTCCGTGTCCTAGTCTCCAGGGAAGCAGAAAACAAGCTTGCTCGCTCCTCCCTGTGAAGGTTGAGAACCACTGCTCTAGGTCCACCTATATGACTCTAGGGTTCACTATACTGAGAGTCATACTGGAGGACCTACAGACTCCTCAACTAAGTGCAATATATACATAACTAAGTAGCTGATCTTAGGGAAATTTTACTGTCCTTACAATAGCTTATGCTATTGAAAATGTAGAGGTCTTGCACATACAAATCAGTTATAACTACATAACTGTGTAACTGCAGCCAAGATTTATAGCCATATCAAAACTTTTGATTTAAAAACAGAAAGAAGTATCAGCAATTAAAAGAAATGGGAGAAACATAACCAAAAACCCTGAGCTATAATTCAGCCATGAGCATGAGTGGGTTGAACTGATTCTTAAACAAGTGTATTGATGGTTGTGGGTCCTTTTGTCAGAATGACAGAAATGACTGGGAAGTGTTGAGAACATCTGGCATCACACCTTTCGGTATGAAGCAAGCCTGGCAGCTTTGAAAAGCTTTCTAATTGTGACTTTCCCACAGGAGATCATGAGTGTGAGACCAGTGGTGGGCCCTGTCAATCTTGAGTCGCCTTCTTCAGGCATTAGACCAATTAAACTAATTACAGTCACTCAAAGGGATGCTGGAAGCTTAGCTCCTGATGAAGGTGGACACATGCCAGCTAACCCATATACTATGCCATCAGGCCAGTAGGATTTTCTGTGGCCAAGTTTTCTAAGTGTGAAGCCATCTGGTTCTTCATTTCCAAAACTACAGAGCTTCTGTTGGAAGCGACTGACCAGAAAAGAGATTTTCATGGACTACTAAGAAAGGCCATGATAGCTAGTTTGAGGACAACATTGACCCAGTTTGTGCCAGCTGTGAGGCATATTTGGAAATGGAGAGGGACCAAAGAAGTGGAGGATGGAAAAGATTTGAAAATAAAGCTGGCAGTACTGTAAAACCTCCATCTGTGATCCACCCATACTTGGATTCATTGGCATAGTTCTAGTAGTCACCAGATTTCCAAAAAGGATATTGTAGAGATGAGGAAGGGCAGGAAAGGGCAAGCAAAATGATCAGGGGTTCAAAGAAATTCCCCTCAGTGGAGAGGTGTTTAGGAGAACTGGGCTAGGCACAGCAGATCTGAAGTATAGTGTCTACATCCGCAAAACAATGGCTTTAAACAACAGGAAAGGAGATTCCACTTGAACATTAGGAAGAACTTCCTAACTGTGAGAGCTGTTCAGCAGTGGAACTCTCTGCCCTCTTTGCCCCAGAGTGTGGTGGAGGCTCAGGCTGGATAGCCATCTGTCAGGGGTGCTTTGAATGCAATTTTCCTGCTTCTTGGCAGAATGGGGTTGGACTGGATGGCCCACAAGGTCTCTTCCAACTCTACGATTCTATGGTCTTTGAGAATGGCACCTTCCTGCTGAAAAAATAAAAAAAAACACATCATGTTCCATAATGCTTCCCAACTTCCCCCGAGTGGGCATTTTGATTATGTTTTTGGAATCCCTGGTTCATTTTGGGCCCACAAGATTTTTTTTAAAAAAAGTGTAAGTAAAAGGTCCTTTTAAAAGGCATATCCTCAGGTTTGTTCTTAATTTGAATTTGTTTGTAAGTTGGAACACGTATATTTTTATGTATCTATCTAGCTTTATTTCGTATCAAAAGCATTGCATAAATTAGTATAAAACTGATAAAAATAGAAGGAGCACAAGCGGCTAAATAT